GGGAACTACGCCTATTTAGAAAAGAAGGTAAATTATTGCAAACATGATCAGTCGAAGATAAGTATGGGGACAGTTTGGGTGGTAGAGAGAAAGTGATAAAAGAGTGGGAGAGAGGAAGAGAGGAAGAAAAAAGAGGGATACTTGGCAACTGGCTCATATTATAACAGTTGTAGTGTCCCAGGGTCATGTAATCATTTTTTGAAAAGCAAAGTCAATGTGGAAGCCAGATTCACTTAACAACTATATAATTAACTTAACAACTGAGTGATACACTTAACAGCTCCAGCAAGAAAAATTGTAAAATGGGCCAAAATTCACTTTACAACTGGCTTGCTTAGTAACATAAATTTTAGGCTCAACTGTGGTTGTATGTTAAGGACTATCGGAGTGTGTGTGTGTTGGGGGGAGTTAAACCAGGAGTTACCAACCTTCCGGGCCCCAGGGACCACTAAATTCATAATTTTAAATCTGGCGGACCACTAATATGATTTAAAAAAAAACAATAAATAGTATTTGGTGCAATATAAAAAATGCAAATCATTTTTATGTGGACCACCAATGGCTCAACTCCAATAAGTTGTGCTTGGGTTTTACTTAAAAACCAAGAAATAATATAGAGAGAATCCGGAAGACAAATCTTATATACTAACAATCCATAGCAGCTCAATGACCATCCTTCCACAAGAGTAGCTAGCTTTTCAATGACTTTCTGAATGTCATGAGGGTGGGAGCCATGCAGATCTCTATGGACATGCTGTTCCAGAAGGCAAGAGCTGTAGTACAGAGCATAACATCCAAGCCTGAAAGTGGAAAGCCTTCAGCTGCTAGTCTTGTCAAAACTGAAACCAAGTCTCTTCCTCCCTATCTAGGATATGGGTGGAACTGAGTAGAAATATGCATTTAGATTTCTTCAGTATACTGTTGATATTGGATCCAAACTGATATTTCACCTCTCCCAACAGTTTCGCACGTACGAGAGAAAACATACACACACACCTAAATGTCTATATGTTCAGGAAGACCTGCCCATGGAAAGAAAAAATATTGCCAGTTTCTTTGCTGAGTAGGTGAGAGATCACAGTAGCAGAATTGTCCAATTGGTGAATCTTTGTTATTTATTCCAAATAGTCTTAGTTTAGTCAGGATTCTCATAAATTCACTTAAAGTCACTGACCAGCACATAGGAAAGTTTAAACAATGGGAAGGGATATGCCTTGAAATAACAACAATAAAAAACCAAACCAAAACAGGCTTTTGGAATGTAGAACTAGTTTGGTAGAACTAGTTATATCTCAATTATTGAGATATAAGGCTAGAAACTGGAAGGCTGACTTCTAGTCTCCCTGTCCCCAATTAGGCACAAAGTTTGGGATGACCTTGGACCAGTCTATCTCAGCCCTAGGAAAGAGGCAATGGCAAACTACTTCCAAGCCTTCTCAAGAAAACTGCAAGGACTTGCCCAGGCAGTTACCAGTATCCAGAGTCAACACTGACTCAGAGGCACAAAAGGTAAAAATGAAATTGGAATTCATGCCAATAGTTTCTTTCTTTATCAACAGCCAAATGCCTGTTGATAATGATGCTATGGCTACTAAACAGAAATATGTTTTTTAATAATGAGTTCTTATGGGAAATGAACAACATATTTTAGTAACAAAAATCTTTTCTCTTTTCCCCCTAAATTCCTCATTTCCTTTCATTAATATGCTTTCATTTGACCTTTTGTGCATTGCAATGGAGTTTGAATAGAGTGCTTGTTAGTTTATTATTAGTTTTGCAACTTGCCAATGGGCAACATTTTTCTTCAGAAAATTACATTGAAATAACTGAATTGTGAAAAACTTAACATTAGCATATACGTACCAAAGATCTAAATGTAATTCAATTCCTAAGAGCAAGAGATAATAAAGATTTAAATGTAATTCAGTGCCCAACAGCAAGAGGGAAAAAAACCTTTTTCCTGTTTAATATGCGGATGAATGAGTCTAAAAATTATAAGGCTAGAGCTCAAACTATTAACCTCCCTGTATAAAAGTACTGAGCAATAGAAAATCCCCAAGTAAGTGATCAGCAGTTTTAAGGGATAGGAAGATAAAGGATAAAATATCAGCTTCCTCTTTAAATTTGGATGAGAAAATATCTAGCCAACTTTCCTTTGAAATAAAAATGCGGTAATTCCCTTAATATTGCAATTGTTTGATTTGTATATTTTCTGCGAGTACTTATTTTTCACTGAAAAGAACAACTGGTTGGAATTATGAGGTTAATACTATAATGAAAACCGCTTCTATATTTTAACTATTCCATTTCAAAGAAAGAAAGAAAGAAAGAAAGAAAGAAAGAAAGAAAGAAAGAAAGAAAGAAAGAAAGAAAGAAAGAAAGAAAGAAAGAGAGAAAGAAAGAAAGATATAGGTAGGTAGGTAGGAATGGAGGTAAAACTTCTATTTTATCCTATTTGTCACTATATAATCATCTTTCAAATCTTACCATTGTCTTTCTTTCACTTATATCCTAAGAGAAGATAGCAGGAGGAACTTCCACACAATATGGCCAATAAATCATAAGACGTTAACCCTTAATTCTGGTCATGGATTGGCTTGACTCATAGATACAATTATGCAGGATTTAGAATCTTTATTGCAGAGAAGCATAAATCCTGAAACACAAGATGTAATGGACTATTCTAACATGGGAGGGGGGGGATGGAGCTTCATATGCCAATCACGTGTTAGTTCCTATCTCTCCTTATAATTACAATTGATGGGAAATGTTCTAATCAGAAAATTCTGATCAGTCATTAGTGTTGGCATAACTATAGGTGAACTTGTTTTCAGCAAACCAGTAAGCTTTTATAAAGGCAGTTAAGGACATTTTTATGTTACAGTATTGGTTATGATTTTTGTTGCAACTTTGATGGTGGGAATGCATCCCTTCTGATCCTTCAATGATGATCAATCATGCTATCACTCTGAACTCTCTGTAAGGACTGGGTATCGGGACCATATTTTACATTGGTTCCACACCTTCCCAAGTTGGAAATTCCAGGTGGTTTTGTGAACAATAAAAAGGCTTTTGTAAGCAGTAAATTGTGTGAAAGAATGATGAGGCACAGCAATAGATATTATACACTACTTGATTATTAAGCATCATAATAATTTATTATATAGGCACTAAGCATGAGTACCATTGTAAAGAGCTACAATTAGCACAGTATTGCACTTCAGACATTAATTACAAATGGGTATGCTTCACATATGTTTCTAACCCATTCTCAGGTTAAGGCAAAAAAAAAATAAAAAAAAATTCAAGGCAACAATATGTCACGTACACCAGTTTAAGTTATACACACTTAAAAAAGAAATCGTTTCTCCCTGACTAGAAAGCATTTCGGCTATCACAGTCTCTTGGTGACTCAAAATCTTGAGATGTTTGATCACTTTAGATTCAGAACTTTTCTTTCACGTGTAGATGCTAGTATCAGAGAAAATAGTATTATCAATTGCTGTAATTACATTAATACGCCCTAGCATAAAAATATATATTATTTATCTCTTGACATTATCAGGGGTTCACTCTGAGAAACATTTTCATTACTTGTGCAAAATATTGTTTGTTGTGCATATCTATATTAGTGAGGTACAGAATGTGTAGATGTTTTTAAATTAACCCATACTATGAATTTAGATAAAATAATACAGCAATGGAGTACTGGTGCACTAAATGAGATGCTATGGTAATTTCTTTATTTTGTGGACTACTCTAATTTTATCTTTGCAGTGAAATTGTAATACTGTTAAAATCCTATGTTTAGGGTATTTACCTCTGGATAAATGCTAGAATTGCTTGCATAAGCCAATGCCAATCAAATCAAAATTCTGGCATTCATAGGAGTCACTAGTTCCTGTCTTTTTCACATGGAATGCACCATTTCCTGGGTAAATTGAGGGGGAGTGTGAGGGTAGTGAGGAGGGTAGAGGGAATGCTCTTCCTCTATTTACTCCCTTCTAACAATGATCATCTGATTGCACATGGCCCATGGTTTATTTATGGTTATGTGTTTTTTGTCAGAAAATAAAGATGAAACAAAGTTCCACACATGTATTTTGGAGATAATCATTTTAAAACAAAATTTAAAATGTGGATAGAATCCCTCCACTTTGTATGAGAATTAAGAGTTTTTTAAATTTAAAAGAGAAAAAAAGGGAAAAGTCACCATTGACAAAGGTAACATTATCATCCCACCTTTAGAGGGGAATTTATCCCTTTTATTCATATTTTGCTCTCCTTAGAAATCCTATCCCATTTGCACAAGTAATTCAAAACATTGCGACTTATTTTTTAAAACTGTACTTAATGAACAAGAAGAAGATATGTATCCAGTTATATAAATCTTTCAGACATACTGCTTTAACTTACCTGATATTCTAGCTCTATTCAGGATACACAGAGAAAAGCACACAATGAGTTCTGTGCTACTTTTGCATGCCCAACGTATACAAATTACAAGATGCCTTCTATTAGAAATAAAACATACTTTAAATGTTAGAGACAAAAACAGGAGGATAGAAGTTATGCTTTAAAGATCTTTCCAAGACCAATTGTTAATCATTGTGCATCAAGGACAGAATTCAACTCTGATGTCAAATGTATCCTAGCATTTCATATAGGTTTTAAAAATGCAAATTGTAGACTTAGATTTAAAAGTATTTGTAAAAGCAAAAGCAAACAGAAATTTAATGTTATGACAGTTTGGCCACTGCCATTTAGGTCCATGGGGAAGTCAACATCAGCAAAATGGTAGGCACAGGTTCACTATCTACTGCCATAGGTACAAAAAGAACATAACAATAGCACTTAAACATATACTGGCTCACAGTACTTTACAGCCCACTCTAAGCAGTTTACAGAATCAGCATATTTTCCTCAACAATCTGGGTCCTCATTTTACAGACCTCGGAAAGATGGAAGGCTGAGTCAACCTTAACCGGTGAGACTCAAACTGCTGAATGTTGGCAGTCGGGAGTTGGCAGTCAGCAGAATTAGACTAAGCACTGCATTCTAAGCACTGCACCACCATTAAAGCATGTAGTTTTGGTGATGACACCATAGCATCCATCTTGCAGATTTTGACTTCCTCCACTGCAGACGTGTTGGCCACAATATTTCTTTCATCAAAAAAATAAGAATCATGAAGAACAGAACAGCAATTAAAAATCTTTAAAATATGGCAAGCAGATCTTTACCTGACTTTTTAAAAATCCTAGTTTGGAGTTATGTAGCATTAACTGTTCCAATTAGTTCATATAGATGGCACTTTTGGAAAAATCCTATGTAGTACACTTCTGCTACTTTTATTATACATTAAAACAGTGGCCTCCAATCTTTGTAGTTTGGCAGTCTGGTAGAGGGGGAGATGGGATTGAGGCTGCATGACCAGTGGGTCGTCACACTCATATGTGCACAACTCAACTTGTGAAAGTGTGAGGCTGATGGGCACGCCCATGCAGTTCAAGCTGCACATGTTGAGCTCTGTGTGCATGTGCTCGCACACCAACCCACCATTCCTGCAGCCTGATTGCAAATAGGCTATAGTATGCTATGGCCCGTAGGTTGGAGACCACTGCATTAAAAGCAATAATTGTTACTAAGAATTGTTTTACACCGTTACATCAATGGTACAGTTTACTTAAAATTACCCTTAGTAAAATAGGAAGATAGTTGTTTCAAATTGGTTAGCAAGCAATGATTCTACTTTTAATATTTATTAATTTTTGACTTTTCTCCTGAAATGAGAAAGGAAATAGCAAAGTCAAATTTATTTTGTCTTTGCTATTGGGGACCTTATTGCTATCATTTTGGCTAAGATGTTTATACCCTGGAATCACCATTTAAAAGCTTAATGTTTATCATATCCCACAATGAGGATAAGAACCTGAGAGCTAGCCACTCAAGAACTATTGAAGAAAAGAATTCAAGATTAAATGCCCTTGAAAGAAAGAAAACTCATCATATTTCCTGCAGAACCAAGTAAGACAGACTAAACTCTCCTAAACATTTAAGGAAATTCAAATGGAAATTCTTGCTATTACTTATTCAGCAAAATGTTATTTTATTGTAAAATAATGTCTAGTATCACTATTACTGCACTTATAACACTATAAATTCAAGTTAAAAGCCTTGAATTTATTTAAGTCTTTTTTGAATTAGCTACAACATATTTGAGAACTAGATTCTTATGCAGTATTTTTATATAAGGAAGAACTTTGTTAAGTCATATAGTGCAATCCACATACAATATTTAATGAAGAAAGAAAGAAAATCAGATTTGTATATGTGTTTTGGAGAGGCAAAAAAATCTATTTTTTATAAGTCTCATCTGTACAACAAATCTCAACCTATTTAAATGTAGCTTAGATGCCATGGCTTTTCTATAAATGTTTTACAAGAATGGTAGTTCTGAGGATTTTAATTTGGCAGCCATAACATTTAAACAGGTATAAAATTGGTTTTCAATTTTAATATTGATGTTCTTTTAAATTCCAGAAAGATGTCACTTATAGATAACCAATAAGTGCATTATTAGGCCCTAAGAGCTTTAAAGCAAGCTTATTCTAAGTTCAAATGCTGATCATTTAATATATATCATGAAGAAATGTTCATTTCCAGAGACACTAGAGAAGTTCAAAAAATGAAACAATCCATCATGCTTTAAAGCCCCTGAGAGCAAAAGCAGCTTCATTAAATATTCTTTCAAGTAGTTCCAGTCGAAGGTGATTTTTTTTTCAGAGACATCCATGAAGTTTTTCTATGACACAAATGGGATACTTCTACATTGCTAAGCCAGCTTTTTTCTAGAAAGGAGAAACCAAACATAACAATTAAAAGAATAAACACTTTTATCTGAAACAGTATCATTATGAACTAGGTTCATTTAAAAAAAATATATGTAAATTTACAATTATTACATGTGACATTACATTGTTAAATCTAAAACAATCTTGGAGACAACACTTTGTATGAAGGAGTGGAAACAGATTTTCTAGGATTGTAATGTGTGTGTTTTTCTTCATCTTTTCATGAAAAATCCAACCACACACGTAGATTATCTTGGTAGTCTCCAACCAAGTATTATCCTACTTAGCTTTTTAGGAGCTCAGTCAAGGTTGCCTGTGTAGTGTCACCAAGTTGGACATAATGACATTAAATGATGCTAAAGAAAAGCAATACATACAATACTTCAACTATTTTATTTATCTAGCCCACAAGAAAATTTGCAGCTTATATACACATATTTAAAATATGTCATTACCATATTAATTTTAGTTTTATGAAAATATCATCTATAAAAAAATCTGCTATCTACCACAGAGTTACACAGCAATGTAAAATTCCTTTCCAATGCACAAGTACTTGAATTGTGCCTTAAATTCCTCAAATTGAAACACATTTGACCATAAACCATATTCTATTTTGCTTTTAACTTCAAATCCTGCATAAATCTCTTTTAGATGATGAAGAAAATGGAGCTTCATATATGAAATAAAAGCATAAATGAAGGGCTTATTAAAAGTAGACTACTTTTTAAAAAATTCTGCACATTCATTCTAGATGTCTATGAATTTGCATCCTTTATATTTTTTTAATATTTGAAATATCTGCAATTTCAAAGCTTAGTTTTAATAGATTTTCAATATCCATTAAAATAGCAATTCTCAATTGAAACAGTTATTTTACTACACAAGAATAAAACTTGCATAGATTAACTCAACAATACATTCTTCTTGTGAGCAAATTAATATTTAGAAAACTGAAACACAGCTATTGTAATACAAATAATAGCTTCTGCAAAAGACTCTAAATATGGCTATTGTTATAAAGGCAAACAGCACAAACTGATTCAAAGGACTTCACAATTATCTTGTGCTTCATTTTAGCTACAGTTACAATAGTTAGCATTTGGATTTCCAAATAATAAATCAAGCTGTATAAAATGTCTATGGAGATCCTCAGTCATCAAGGTCATGGTTATCCCAAAGGTGCTTTTTCAAGAGGCAACTGGACTTTATTTTTCCTTTAAGACATTTCACTTCTCATCCAGTTCTGATTGAATGGTGGCGGATGCAAGGATTTATATTCCTTGCAGTCATCTGGTTGTTAGCACTCTTTCTGAGAGTCATTGAGATTACTTGGACGTTTATCTGTGCCCTCAGGGTCACCTGAATAGTACCAATGGGTGTGGAACTTTCCTGGAACTGCTGAAAGGACTCCTTTCCTTACCTCCAAGCGGCGTCAATGAAAGTTAGCACTCTTTCTGAGAGTGCTCCACCATTCAGGCAGAACTAAAGAAGCTTCTTGGATGAGAAGCAAAATATCTTCAAGGAAAAACAAAGTCCAGTTGCCTTTTGAAAAAGCAACTTTGGGACAAGCAGTATAAAACCACCTAGAGGGGTGGGTGATCCTTGTATCTTCTCAAAAGCTTAAGGCTATTTTAAGGCCGTTCTTATGTTGTCTGAATATGCATTGTATGTACAAATATTTTATTTTACAAGGAAAGCTACTTTGCTTTGCCAAAGTGATGCTTTACAGGTATAAATTTCAGCAGTGAAACCACTCGCATCTTTAACATGATATGGTGCTTCAAGCACTGAGATTGGGTGAACCTTATGTGACAATCTCAGCAGAAATGTTGCCTCTGCATGGACACAAAGAACCTTCATAGCAATGATGCCAAACCTTTCAAAAGATGCCTTAATGCTTTGAGGAAGGTTGCTCTATTTACAGCCCCACACTTGTAAAATGCGTCTTGTAAATATTTTGCATGGCTCTAGTAAGCATGGCATCTTTTTCTTAAATTTTTGTGACCTACAAGTTGACTCATGTATGTGGAAGACCTCCAAAAGATTCTCATCATTTCCCTATATGTGTCCTTGGCAATATGAGAGACATTCATATATACAGTATGTTTGATATACAAACATATACTGTATGTTTAATGGAAAACAACTATATAATTTTAAAATAGTTGAAAATAACAAACTCTATGGACTATTGCTTCTAGGTCAGTGTTTCTTATGGGAGTTGAAGCCCTGTGGACTTCAACTCCCATAATTCGATGCTATGCTGGCTGGGGGATTCTGGGAGTCCACGGGACTTAAAGTCACCAAGGTTGAGAAACACTGTTCTAGGTGAATAAATAAATAATTAAAAATACACACATTTTAAGGTGTTTGCTAGTTTTTTTCAAGTCTTATCATTAGAGAGCCAAAAAAGCAAGACACCTTGCCCTCTAATTTGAATTACAATCATTTATCCCAAGAAATCCATTGAAATATTTTTTTATAGAGTGACAAATGAACAAATGTAACTAAAAGTTTTAAGTGATTCTCCATGTATTTCAAACCCTAAGTTCATATTTCACCAAACTATTCAAAGTAGAATCATAAATTCCCAGGAGAGTCAAAATCTATGATTTATGATTCTAAAATTTATGATTCCACTCTGAATAGTTCAAAGGGTAAAAAGACAACAAAGATCTTCTAAAAGCTAGGAAACTATTTTCTGAAATGAACTTCTTAAAGTCCAATATATTTTAGTTAAACATACTAAAGAGCAATTCAGTGACTCAACCTGGTCATAAAACTGATATTTTGTTCTGTCTTTTGAACAATTGGAGTTCAAATAAGAGATTGAAATCACCATAGAATTTTTAAATGTTCTGTTTAGGATATTTCCTATTTAGAAGAGAACTGGAACAGAAAAAAGAAAGGGAGACAGAAAGATAAGAAAGACAATCTGATTAAAAAACACCACCAGAATCTGGTTGGTGGCATTTGGGACCTTCTCTGATTGGCTAAAGTTTAAGGTTGTTGTTCTAGACTGATCTTCCCTTAACTAGCATTTATAAAGACCATCTCCTTTCAAATGTAAAAATCAAATCAAACAGCCAAGTAATAATATCACACTGTCTCTTCAGACTATTTATATAATTGTGTCACAGAAAAACATTTAATATTTTATTCACAATGTTTAGAACACAATGTCTTAATGTTGTGTATAAATTGTAGCAATTATTTTCCTTTCCACGTGAAATTTCTATATGAAAATTTGTGCAATACAAGAATGAATTAACAACAGACAGCAGCAGTTTAATTGGTGGTGGAAAATTTAAATAACCCTATCTTGAGGTCTTCTTTTCAAAATGCTAATCCATCTGATTCTTTTTTGTTAGGATTTAAACTGATTCAACTAATGACAGTTTATTCTAACAGCAAAACTGGGTATATTGAACAGGATATATTTATCATGGGCTAAAACATACTGAAATGAACAATATTATTACATTTATCAGCTTACCAAGATAATCATTTTTATATATTTCTGAGCAAATCCATTTTTTAATTAAGTGTTCTATAACAAAGGATCTCCCTCCTAAACCTTCAGGATAAAGACTAAAATTTTACTGGATAATTCCTAAAGGAAGTGTATATGACAATATAACTAATCCTTTAACCATGTTCATTTTATTTGATTATACTTTAGAAAGCCGTCCTAAATCTTTGGGGGATACAAATTAGATTTTAAGATATTGAAGCTTATTGTTTCTAAGAATTGGCTTACATTACATTATATTTAGTACTTTGGCATTTGCCTTATGGAACATTCTCCTTCTTGGACATCCCTTTTTGTGTTCCAGAAATTCCTCAAGACCTGTTTTGTATGGGCATCCCAAGGAACCAAGACTTGTTAGATGGCACCACTGTAGAGGTGGCTTACTCATTCTCTCTCTGCTTGGGGTTTGTACATATTTTTAGTTCAAATCATCCCCATTTCTAATGCTGATTTTTCTATTTTTAAATGTATTTATATATGTATTGTTTTTATTGACTGTTATACATCACCTACAGTAACTTCTCATGAGGTAAGTGCTATATATATAGTACTTATGTTAGTAATATTAGCATACAAATAAAATTTCACTATCTATTCTATAATCATAGTAGAAGGCACTCTGAGCACCTGTTTGACAATTTGTTCAGAGTCCTGAAAGTAGACTAATATTCTTGACGTAGTATATAAACAGTTAATCCTGCCTTCTTTATCAGTTTTCTGAAGCAAATCATTAACTACAGGACATTGTAACTATAGAAAAGCAGAATCAGCTGCTGTTGTTCAGAATATCAATGATCTATGGGCGTGCATACAATCACCTCTTTTCAAAACCCCAAAGCAACTGTATCATCCAGAAAGCTTGAACAATTGCTCCTAGGTGCCTCTGCAGGGCAGAAAGTGGAGTGAAGGAGAAAAAGCATCATGTGGAGATAGCTGGGACCAACCCTGAAAGCAACCATATCAGTATTGCAAATTACACAGCTGCTTTAATAATTATATAATACGTGCTTCATATATTGCTCCAATAAAACTTCATTTTGGAAGATTTTCCACAATTTGTCTCTATGATGTTGAAATACACGTCAGAGTAAGGCGATTAGGAAATTTGTTGGATGTCCCCAACAGAATGAAATTAAAATGATTTCATCTCTTTTTGATTTCTGAAAAAGTTAGAAATAAATTAAAATATCCATTTTGAATATTCCCAATAACCCACATCAAGTTTGTTTCCCTACTAGTGCAGTCAAGAGATATTTGAAGAAAAGCAAATGCATATTAATATACTACAATAGTGAAATTCTGGTTAATTGGTTTAGTAAGATGTTCTTTTATTAAAAGAATTTTTTCTTTAATTGTAGGTTTCTTTTTCACTTATGTATTCTAAGGGAAGATCTTGATAGGCAGAATTCCAATTTAGTGAACTACTATTTGGAAACTTATTCTCTACTCCAGACTCTAATGCTACATTGTACATTATTATTTAATTTAAAATTTCTTTTCATAGGATATATGCATATTCGATATAACTCTCCTCAGGGGACAGTCACTGTCATTTTTCCCTTCAGGTTATCCTGCCTTGTAGTTCCTTTATTAATCAGTTTTTTAAAATTAATTCAAGTTAGTTATCTATATCTTTAGGGTACTTCAATTAATTCCCTTTGTGTTCATTAGACCTTTTCTTTCTCCTTTTCACAGAAACTGAAACAAACTGAGAGGCTGGGGGTAAACAAGTTAACAACATTGATGTTTATAAAACTTAAATAAATAAGAAACATTAAGTTTCTGATTATAGGAGAACGTAAACACTGGACAGGGAAATTTATGAAAATATTCCCAAGAAAATAATATGAACTAACACGTACCATGGGAATGATAAAAGCAAATTGTATAGGAAAATGATTTTTAAATTTAGAATATTTGTATGGAATGCAAAGCATGTGACTAGTACCAAATACCCAAACCACATGCCAATGTACATTTCTCAATAAGGATAAATCATTAACAATACTTCTGCATTTCAAGGTGATTGAACTGCATTTGCAAAGATCACATGACTACCATAAATTAAATTTTATCTACCTGCAAAACTCAAAACATTTCTGTCAGATGTTTATCAGGCAGTTTTTACTTTCAGCAATATATATAAAATGAAAGCTTCATTTGACAAAACAAACAAAGCATCACAAACAAAGCAAACACAACATCAACAAAAAGCCACATTGACATATGTACACAATTTCATGGAACAGCATATGAAAGCTAACATATCAAGAGAAATTTGCCAGCAAAAGAAAGTGCAGGGAAGCATCACTGCAAAACAAAGCATGAAGCATAAGCAACTGGCCACTCTGAACACAGGTTTGGAACAACAGCTTCTTTCACCGTCAGTCTCACTTGCGATCGAGACAGAGACCAGAGGTTCTCAGATGACTGCATCTGATTTCTCCCTATAAAAAGGGGAATAACAAACCATTGACACAACCTCTCTCATTATAGGATGAAAAATAAACTGCACAGAATTTTCCAACCCTTCCATTTCTTTTCTGACAATGTACATAGTGCACTTCCTACTTAGGATTTTAAAGGTATATCATATCAAAAGAAATGCACTTCTTTAAAAGGATGAAAAAGCTATCAAGATATTGCATATGCACTTGAAAACATCCAAAGGAAATGCTCATGGTGGAGATTTGTAATGCTAGGATAACTGCATTGGAGCATTAGAATACAATCCCAGCTGAGATAACAAGTCTAACATACTATTTGCCTTTTAAGAAGGTCCAGTGGCATTTCAAAAATAGGTGGGATTTTAGCTGACTTTCTAATTGCATTTTAGAACTATTTAATTCTAATTCTTAATTTTAAAACCATTTCTGCATTGCTTTCATTGCTTTTAATTGGCTCCTGCCAACACATTTAAGCTGAAAACCAGCAGCTGTTCTTCAGGAGCCATTTATACATAAAGCAGTACCGCACTGATTCACATTAGCTGACCAGAAAAAAATTATGGTAACTTGGCCTATACTTGTGCTCAGAGTAGACTTCAACAAAGATAGTTACAATCTGAATCTTTGTAGTTGTATTTGATTAATCTTACTCATGTGAAATAAATGTTAATCTTATGACCATACCATATTTCACACATCCAAAATAGATTTTAATTTTCACTAAGATGATTTCATACAGTACTTTCTCTTTATGTAAACTTTTCTTCTAAAGTTCTCTTCTTCTCTTGGAAAATGTCTGTTAATCAAAAACATATGAGACATGTAAGCTGTTCTTAATGATACTCACATGTAAGGACTTTCCATCTGAAGCTGCAAAGAAAGAAAATAGCACAGGAGAAGCTCAAGCTTCAGTTCTTGGAAATCAGAATAAGCAACCAAAAAATAAAAAGAAGGGGAAAAAAGGAAGATAGCATATGGAAAGAGAATGAAAACCATCTCTTTCCCCCCAAATGAGTGCAAAATGCGGTATGTGCAACGTAGTGTATTTCATATGCGTACTGTGTAGAATACTGTCTACGTTTCTATTATTATTAACCCTATGCATCCTAGAGATTCACTTTAACATCCCTTTTCTTTTTGACGTTAAAAATGAAGAAGAAATAAAAGATAATACATTATTACTGTTATTATTTTTATTGATAAACTTAAATTGTTACATAGGAGTAATATTCAAGTGTAATCCTCAAGACTCAAGACTTTAAAAAAAGGAAAATACCTTTTTTTCAAATAAAAACAGTACCAGCCCCATACATTCCTTTGTACTAATCTTTAAAAGTCTACTTTCTCTTACAAAATCACATTTTATTAAGTTACACTACAAAAAGGCTTCAGAAGAACATCCATCTGATGTACAGACGCAGCTAGAAAGGAATTATGGCAGCGTGTTATAGATAGATAGAAAGATGGATGGATGGATGGATGGATGGATGGATGGATGGATGGATGAGGGTATGTGTGTG